AAAAGTCAACAGCAGTTATTACATTCATGTTTTGTAATTTAACCAAATTTATTTAGGGTTAAGCTGTTCTTTAATTTTGGCCGCCATTTTAAAAAGCGCCCTCAATTGCCTCTCGAAATCTTCACATTAATAACTTTAGCTAATTATACTTTACTCCTATCATTACATATTCAAAAGTTGGTCAAACGTATCTCTTTTGTGCTTATTTTATCTATATATATATATGTAGATTATTGGATTTTGGCGGCCATTTTGAAGAAAGCGCACTCACGCGAAAGTTCTCAGGTTACACCCCTATTACCTCACATATTCTGATTCCCCATAAAAAACTGTTCTAGAAAAACCATATGAGAATTGTTTTACTTCTCCAAGTGGCACCTATCTCAATTATAGCCTGGTTTACTGTGTGTGCGCATAGCCGTTGGAAGCATTTTTGCATGTGGTCCGGCCATTATGTATTACTGGTGGGAGGTGGGAGGTGGGGGAGGGGGAGACTTAACAAATTGGTAGTTAAACTGCAGACCCGATACCCATATCCACGAATACAGGTTTTTAAATTTAGTGGGGTCTGATAATATACACCCCAGCTCACACTTGGTGAACAACTTGTTAGCATCTCTGAATGCCTGGAAATAGATACTGACAATCGGGGCCGCTACACCTCCCCTCAAGAGGCAGTCACAAGATTTAAAGTTAGCATGAATGTAGAATCTATACTCCCCTCAGGCCAACCATGGTCGAGGCTAAGGTGATCAAATTTTGGAAATATGGCACCATGCCCAGAAATAGCAGCTGGCAAAACTGTCTTTACCCCTCCCCATCATGTACATTGGTAAACGCAAGATGTAAAGTTAGTGGAACATGATTGCGGCTGATGTAGGGAAAATTTGAAAATATGGCACCTCTAGAAAGTTGCGTAACTATATATAGGTTTCCAGGGGCTCTGGTTCGGGAATAGAGTCGGGGCCCTTGCATACAAATTGACCGATTCTGATCAGGTTAACAAAGCTTTATTCAGTTAACAAAATTACTCCTTAATGAAGTAATCCATAGTAAAAACCACCTATTAATCGTTCCATGCTATAACGTTATAGAAGTTAAATAACTTAGAACATGTAATGTAAAGATAATGCTGCTTTATTCGATGTTAGATAGGCTTTATTTTTATTCGGCATATTTTACAGCCAAGAAAACGAATCCCAAAACACTACACCACAATTTTTATTTTCTTAATTTATAAAAACTATTTCAACTTCTCTTGTAGTCATGTAGTAATAACATAACATGACAATTAATAATTGATATGCTAACATTGCATTATTTAGGCTTATTTTTTACATGTATCATTCTATAATGGAATGCCACATACAAACTGCCTAATACTGCAATGAATACATATAAAGTAACATACAGTAAGAGAAGAGGAGTCTGACCCTGAATGAAAAAGAAGATCAGTTTCCATTTGTCCTCATCTAGAAACGTTTGCATGTCATAAACACTGTCTGGACCATAAAGACTTTCATTACCGGTATTGTAATAACACAATGGTTGTGCCAATGGGGAGTTCCAAGAGGACCTCGCTTG